ATGAAATAGCTAAATAAAACTGTGACAGGCCTCTGCTCCAATTTATACACAGTGGATGTTTGAGGCGAGTGATTACCATCCAAACACTGCATGCCAGCTGATCTTCTCTATTTAAGAATACAGGAGTTCTGAACAGTAGCTCTGAAAAGTCAGGTGAGGGGGGTAGGGGGTGCCTGTGTGGTTCTTTTGCTATCAAGTCCCAAACCCTCTCCTATAAGGGCATCAATTCACTGTTGACTCAGTTGAGAAGGGCTGCAGGATCCAAGTACAAAAGATCAGTTGAACATTCTTGCTCTGCAAATACATATGTGGAGAAGATTAATACTCTGCTCAAAAAACATCCCATCTCTTCAAGTAGTATTGCAGAAATGGCCAGTAAAACAAGGAGCAAAAACACCCTGAGGCAGCAGCCTGGTGAGGGACATGGTCCCAGGCTCATGTCACACATCTCTGTGGAGATGCTTGCTTCACTGCACTTACATGTGTGAGAGAAATTAAAGGAAAGACTTGTGCTGTCCAACAATTAATTATAAATGTTGAAGTACTTATAAACTGCTTGGAATTACTTAATCTATAAAATGCTAATGAACTGCTTCTTCCTGATGCAAGTTTTCTTAATACGGCATTAAACCCATACAAAGGCAGAGTAACTGTCACCTGCAGAAAAGTTCTGTTCAACAAAAAAATAGTTCCCAAAGCATACAAAGTAAATAAAAAGTATTTCTAAAACACTACACATGTGGATTACAAATATTCCAATTCAAGGCAGGGTCTTCAGTAGAGAATTAAATATGATGTCATAACATGCAAGTTATGTACTTCTCTGCTACTTTTATATGCAAAGGCAAGCACAGCAATCTGTTGTACAAACTAGCTTTCCAAGAGGTATAACCACTAGAAGAATTATAAGACTCAATTTTGTTAGTAAAACAAATAATCTCACTTCTACCTAAGCCTTAACTTTTTACCGCTCTCACAAAATGTCAATAAAAACAGGTCCTCTAAAGGAACATTTGAAAAAGAGAGACAGGCAATCAACAGCTCAGATCTCATAAATGAAGTCATGAGTTCAACAGCCTTCCAAATAACATTTACTTCCACTGAAAACTAAGTTTTGCTTGCTCTTGACATACTGACATCCCAGTCAGTGTGAGGGAAGACAGTAAGATCTGTCAGGCTCTGGAAAAACTTTTAACAAACAAGGCTTTTTCTTAAAAAATTATTTGGTTTGATTTTGCAAGCTTCACCAAGTCTCCCAAGGGGTGTATTTTCCTCCACTATACTAGTGGCCTGTTGCAAACACCGTAACAGTGGAGGACTTAACCCCATCAGAAGATACCATCTCCCCCTCCTAATGTAAAATGGGGCCAGGTTTACTGCAGTTTCATTTTAAGAGATTACCCCTGAGAGTCAAGTTCAACTACAGTTTATGCATAAAGCCCAGCAAATGAATATACAGCATATCTTAGGTATATTTTAAAAAAAATCTCTGAATGGCAAATGCAGCTGAAATTCCCCAGAGGACATGAATATGTTGTAGTATATTTATGAAATATTAAGTCCCATGAATTTATGCTATGTTGAGAATAGCAACACAACTCCTCCTAGAGTGGTTAAACATCACACCACTGAGTTTAAAACCCCAGATCCCCCTCCCAATTAACATTTTTGTTTGAAGACTAACTAATTTGAAATTTCCTCTTGGTATGCCAATTATATCTTAAAACTTTTTCCTGTGAAGTTAAAGTGCACTGTCTAATGTGACACACAAAGTACTATTAAAAACAGCAGAGCAGAAAAAAAAACGTTTTTCTTTCTTCAGTATCAAACACCTGGCAAGTAAATGGAAGGTTCCTGCAAAGCCTTAAAGGCTATTAAAGGCATTCCTCTTTTTCCCTGGGGATTTAAAACTCAGTTATTTTTATTCTTCTTTTCAAGCCTATGAAATTACATCATTTTTTCCCATTAGATTTACACTTTGGAGTATTTTTGTGCATTGTTCCTCAATTTGGTAATTCACTAATAATTAAAACTGCTGTTGGCTCAGTCATGAAGTAACAGGAGAGGAAATGTCCAGTATTATACATCTCTTTGCAAAACAGGACCATTCATTATCTTCAGTTAATTATATATATTCATGTAGTATAATGTTAATAATTTGTAATTTATGATTTGTTTCAGCTACATAGGTCTTTGACCTAGCTTGTCAAATCTTAGAGAAATAAACTAATCAACTTCCTTGGAAGGATCTCTACCAAAGCATTGTGACGGAGTGTATGAAAGTAAGAACTTTCTGTTTGCTCAACATTTGTTAACTTCCCCACAAAGACAACAGCCTAAGTCTACAGCATAGGGTCAATTCCCTTCCTGGGCACCTGGTGCTCTGTAAGCCCAAGGTAACTTAGCACAAAGACGACAATGCTGACCTTCTTACTGGCCCTGCATCTAGGCCTGTTGCATTCAAGAGAAGATTGCTCCAATTGTGCAAGCTCCCTCTCGTAAAACACTCTTGTTCGCGCCCATGAAACCGCTGCAAAAGTGAGCCCTCCTCTACCACCTCATGCCCTCTCCCTCTACTCCCCCACTCACCCACCCACACAAAAATCAGCCAGCAGTAGCAAAAAAACTGCTATTAAAGAAACCATTTAGGAAAGTCCTATTTAGAACAGGACTTAAGAGAAGGACACAGAGCACCAGCTGGAAAAAGAGACATTCATCCCCAGTCAGAGAATACTAGAATCACCCAGGTTGGAAGAAACTGCTGGAAATCAGGTAGTACAAGGCCCCTGGCTAAAGCAGGGTCAGGTAGAGCAGGTTGTCGAGCACCATGTTGTCCAGTTGGGTTTTCCAAGTCTCCAAGAACAGAGACTCCACAACCTCTCTGGAAAATCCATTCCAGTATTGGACCACCCTCACAGTAAAATAGTGGGGTGGGGAGGTTGAGTTCAGACAGACATTGATGTGTTTTGTCTGTTGCATCTTGTACTGTCACGGAGCACTGCAGAGAAGAGCCTGGCTCTCTCATCTTCATTCACTCCTATTACATATTTACAGAAATTGACAAGAACCCCTCTGAGCCTTCTCCAGGCTGAACACTCCTAGCTCTCTCAGCCTCTCCTAATATGAACAATACTCCAGTCCTGTAATCATCTTGTGGCCCTGCACTGGACTCTCTCCATTAAACCTGTTTGTACCTTATACTGAGGAGCCCAGCACTGGACACAGCACTCTAGATGTAGCCTCACCAGTGCTGAATAGAAAAGAAGGATCACCTCCCTTGACCTGCTGGCAATGCTCTTCATCCTGCAGCCCAGGATACTGTTCTTCGTGCTGCTAGGGTGCATTGCTGACTCATGGCCAGCTTGTCCACCGAGGTCCTTCTGGACAAAGCTGCTTTCTAGCCTGGCAACCCCCAGCGTTTACTAGCGCACAGGGCAGTAATTCCCCAGGCACAGGGCTTTGCGTTTCCCCTTCCTGACCCCCATGAGATTTCTCTCTGCTCAATTCTTTAGCCTGTCCAAGGTCCCTCAGAATGGCAGCACGACCATCTGGTGTATCAGCCATTCTTTCCAGTTTTGTATCATCTGTAAACCTGCTTAGGGCGTACTCCATCTGATTGTCAGGTCAGTAATGAAGACATTGAACAGCACTAGCCCCAGTATTGGTTCCTGCAGTACACCAGTCCACGGGTCCCAGCACTTGGAAAAAAACTAGTCAGAGATGGAAGACCCAATGGGTTCCTCTTCTTCAGGTGCATGGACTGCAATTGCTTTTGCCATGCAGTATTTTCATGCTAGTGCACACACATATAAAGGTAAATAAGACTGCAAAGCAGTCGTACAAAGGTCTCCATATAGTCATTTCCCACAAAGCAGGTCCTGCTTCTAGAATGCAGATAAAACTTCCTGTCCACCTAAACCAACAATTTCTTCTAGCTCACAGCTCTCCCCAAATACCAGCAATGAGCACAAACGCACACAGTCCTCAAAGCTCGATAATTTATCAAAGTTAAAAATTATGCAGCCTTCCTGCTATGTAGCAAACAAAGCAGGCCAGCTCTTGTTTTTCATTTTCTTGAGGCTCTTATTTCCTTCTTTCTGAAGTAGTCACGACATGGCACCACAGCTGTTTGGCTAAATCCACAAGTAGCATAAAATTCTGCTGTGACATAGCAAAGCAAGTGGCAGCCTAACATTTAAAATAGGGCAAATTGCACTGGTACACACTTTCTTGCATAATATACATAATCGATAAAGCAAGACAAATTTATCCAGAGACCTTCTCTAGAGCTGAATTGAACTGTCACACAAACTTCCTGCTAACCAACTCCTGTTTCTTAATGACCACACCCATACCACTCCTTATTAGTGTCTACTATAATCAGGCAATCGGTCATAATATTTTCTCGTGATCTTTCATCATTTTATAAAAGAGATCGGACTCAGTTGGGACTGATTGTGGCAGAGGGAATTGCATTATTAGATGACACTTAATTTTAGTGAAAAACTTGTTTCCTCCTCCAAAGGAGCAAGAAAGAAACTACTAACCAAGCTGCATTCCAGCATGCTTATAAGACTTCTTCCAAGAGCTAGGAAGCTAGGTTCTGCCACCAGAAGGGAACATGCAGCTGACTGAATGCTCACCCTGAAGGTGTACAAGCTCTAACACTGCACTGTAGAGCATCCTATCGGACAGAAAGAACTGAAATCTTCAACTTTGTTGCCCTCTCAGCCTTATGAACACTTTCACTGTTTGTGGTGTAAGAGGACCTCTCGAGTCCTCCTCTACTCCTCCCAGCACAGCCTCGCTTCATAATAGTTCCAAAGCAGAGGAATAAGTTGTTCACCAGTGCTGCTTGCCTCCTCTTGAATATCACACTATTTCCCCTACTTCTGTATTTCCTGTGAGCACTATAAGGATGAAAGGAAAGTTAACACACTAGGTAAAATTTCACAGGCTTCATGCCAATTTTGTTAACAGAAAGTTCCAGAATTTCTTACCTGCAACAAATGACTGCTTTACAGGAGAGTGCCAAGTCCAGAAAGCTCTGCCTGACTTCAAATGAAAGGGCATACTTCAGTGTGTGGCCATCAATAATCAGAGCAATATCGTTTTCTTTGCCCAGCGACTCCCCCAAACTGGTACAATGTTGAGTCAGAGAGGCTCTTGTTGCCTGAAGAATAAACAGAAGGAAATCATGTTTCTTCTTAATGTAAGAGAAGTGCATCCAACTACAGCAAGGCATCTCTGGACCATGCAACGGAACACACTACACACTCACCAAAACTAGCACTGACACGAGTCAGTGTTTTAACAGGACCTCATGCAGACATGAACGTGGCTCACAAATCAGCAAAAGTTGCATCTGCTTGCCTAGGAACACATGCCTTGTTTCAGTGCAGACTCTGGCACCTCCACTACACACTCCTGCATGATGCATGTGCCCACAGTAGTTGCAATACATCATTTTCAACTGTAGGACAGGTATAACCTAATGCCCTTCATGGATTTCGACATCATTCAAAGTACTATTATTTATTCAAACAGCATTCTCTACCCTAAGAACATTTTCACTGACAGCTGCTGCTGGGGAAAAAAATAAATATATCAAGTGTTCATGTTTCACTGTCACCCCAAATATTTCAGCCTTCCTGCTGCAGTGAAATTCACACTTAAAGCAGTCTCTTCCATTCCCACGCAGGTTAGTTTAACCATCAGTTCCAGATGAATTAACCACTACTAAACAGTTCAAGAAGTTCCTCATGACCTGAAGTGTATGCACACTTTTTGACAGTGAACGTCTTTTTACACAGGACATAGGATGGCAGAGCATGAAAACTAAGACTTCAGATCCAGTCAAACACTGCTTTTAGTTGACAAATTATCACTAACTGCTGGATTATATAATTTTTCCATTTTTTTCTCCTACTCCTGCTCATCTTAACTGCGTAGCTTTCAATAATTGTGCTAAACCAAATGTTATACATGCTTCTGCTTATTGATATTTAAAGGTACTCATTTTGCAGGTCTAAGCAAAATGTTTTTTTCTTTAAAACCCACTAGAACAGAACTGTAACTGTCAGAAATGAAAATGTGATATTTATGCCTCATTGCAACCCGTTCAGAGTTTTATAGATCCAGATTTCTCCAGACAATGTCAAAGCCACAAGCTTGCCAAGTGCTGCATTTCCTATCTGCACCTCCAGTTTAACAGACAGATGTTAAAAATAAAAATACCCTAAAGCAGCTAAACTAGTTACTCTGGACTACATACCTGCTGTTCCTGAAGAACAGATCACCTCAGTGAAGGCCAGCAGTGATGTGGAGTCTGGATTTCTCTCTCTACACTCAACTGAGAACAGGAGTTGAGGTTTTCTTGCACATGACTGAACAAACCACCAAAGATGTATTGAAACCTGCACACATGAACCCCCTTACAGAGATGGCAAAATTAAATATTTAAGGTTGCATCTCTTTCACAAAGACATCTATGCCAAAAAGCTCCAGTTCCATATGGCACTACTAAAATAGTGGGAAACAAGTTTACATTCCTAAAATACTTGCTTCAGTGACCTCTCCAGCATCTATCCGTGAAGGGAAGAGGTAGGAAAAAACAATGCAAAGAGCTTCCTAGGACCATGGCTTCTTAGCTTCTGGATCTAAGCCTTCTTAAGCTGCTTCTGTGCACTCTAAAGAAGAGGAACATCATACCAAAGTGGGATTTTTTTCTAGAAATAAAGTGACGGAAAACTCCTCTGATCTGGGTGCTTGCAGGGCTGTTTCTCACTTTTTTCCCCCCTCACTCCTCACCACCTGTACAGCGTTTTGTCCTTTCTTAAATACACATTCCCAGAGGTGCCCCCATCTTGGCTGAGGGGTTCAGCTGTGCCCCACAGAACCAGCTGTGTCAGCACCAGGCAGCCCCAGCCCCACCTCACCAAGGCCTCCACAGCCCCCAGCACCTTGCCATGGACACCCAGAACACGTGACCAGACGGGCACTACTACAGTGCTCAGAGGAACTGAGGTAAATCAATTCAGTATGTCAAACTACTTGAGAATGAGCTCTACCCCACAACCTCTAGGACAGAGAACCACACACAGTGCTTCTGGCTTGACTTTCAGCAAAAGACGTCTCCCACGCTCTCTTTTTTTTTTTCCCTTATTACTACACTTCAATAAGACCACACTAACCCATGTTTCCCTCACACTTGCTAAAGGCCAAGCGCCAATAAAATCATGGTTGCTCTGATGTTACACAGCCTGTTGGTGCTCCCTAGCCTACCAACAGCCATGGTCCTGTGAGCCACCGTGGCAGCTCTGGCATCTCATACCACAGCCCTCAGGAGGGTCAGACTCTGTGCACAACAATGCTGCCCTCTGTTACTCTCACTTCCCCTCTTCCCTGCTCCCATTCTGGTGGCAAATTTTTAACCCAGCCATAACAGTAATATTCACCCTGACTAGAGGTATCTTGACTGTAGCCATCAGCAACCACCACCAGTCCAACCTTCACTTCCATCACAGTAACAGCAGGATCATGCCCAATATTTTGGACTTGGATTATTCCAATCATGTTTTACTGAAATAATCAGCAACATAAGTATTCCCTTTCAGTTCATTTAAGATTTTTTTTACAAAGGTTTCTACTACAGAATTACAATGACCTTTAAATGCTGTCCCAGGTTAAGCTGAAACAGAGTTAACTTCCTTCATAATAGCTAGCAAGAGGCTGTGTGTTGGATTTGTGCTTCTGATAAAAAGTGATGTTTGCATGGCTGCCAAGGTCTTCCCGCTTCTCTGGCTGCCTGCAAACAGGAGAAGCTGGGAGGGAGCACAGCCCCAGTTACTAGCCCAGGATTTGATCTTAGGTTCGGCTTTGAGAACCAGAGTGGCCAATAATCTATTCCATAACACACACGTCATGCCCAGTATATAGGTGAGGACCCTTCAGAAGATCATCCCTTTTGGTTCTGGATCTCTTTCACTCCAGGTCATCTCACTCCAGGTGGTCGCTCTCCCAAGGCTTCCCCCCCACCCTTGTCAGCTCTCAGTTTGGAATGCTCAGACTTATTTCCATTCCATGAGTGTGGGACAGTTAGGTGGAGCTTTGGTCATCGGGGAGGGGGGGGGGGCAGGGAAGGGGCAGCAGTATCACTGTGTATCACTCATTTGTATATACTATTATTTTCAATACTATTGTAGTTAAGTTTTTAAATTGTTCTCATCTCAACCCACAGGTCTTTTTTCCCTTTTACCCCTTTAAATTCTCTCCCCCATCCCCATCCATTGACTGAATGGGTGTGTGGGTTGGCCCCCAGCCAAGGGCAAACCCATCACAATGCCCATGTTCATATGATCATGGTAAATTTTTTCCTGTATCTTTTTATTTCCAGCTCAAATAAGAACTGCTTTGTTTCAGAAAAAAATAAATTAGCTTCAAAAAACCTAATAATTGAATTTTTACAATGCTTTCCATGCATAATACTGTGTTAACTTGATCTGTCAAGGCAGCCACCCACCACAGTACACCAAACAGCAAGACTGAGCGTTACTGCGATGCTTAGAGACTACAGATTTTCGCTTGCCTTGAATCATGTTTCTCATACAAAGCCCAATAAATATGTTCAAGTCTGAAATGTATCACAAAATTGCTAAACATGGCATAACTTCCAGCCATCTGTGGCATAAAGTTCTGAAGGTTGCTAGATCAGTTTTACACAAAGCCAGTAAAATAAAAGACAAAAATAGCCACACTCAATCAAACCAGATCACGTTCGTGGCCAAAAGCAACCAGGCGGGAATGAGTGCACGAATACAGCAAGCATACACCAGCACTCCCAGAGGAGCTCCAGGCCCCCCACAGTTGGTAGCTCAGGGACCTCCTGAGCCAAGTGCAGGGTCTGCTGAAGGAGAGCCCTCAGTCCCCAGTTACCAGAAAGAACTGTGGGAAGTGGATCAAAAAGCTAGCGAGGGGAGAGAAGTCACCCCTCCTCTAGAGTAAAGCAGGATGCAGAACAGCATGTAGGCAAGGAGGAGACTCTAAGAAACAAGGAGAGGAAGTTGCTTTGCAATTTCACCCCGCTTATTGGCATGGTAGTCAAAACAAACTCAGTCCAATTCACCAAGAAACTAGTCCCAAACTGGCGGCCAATTTACAGATCAAGTTAATGAGTATGCCAGGCTGCACAATTCAGACACACACAGATTACATTTTGCACCTTATTCATTACAAGAATGTCTACGTCATTCCCTGCTTCCCCGTTAAACTGTGAGGGATTAGATATATGACTTCATGGCATGCTTCACCTCCACTGTACCTGAAAATTTAACACAAAAGTAGATGACTGTACTTAAACCATCACAAACTGGTGCAGGGAAGACAAGGGTGTGTCTTGGGGGAAGAAAGCCATTTTGCATAATTCAATACCATTATGTAGCAACAGCATTCACAGAAATCCCAAGGAGGTTATAAGGGATACAGTTCAGGTAATGTCATCAATAACAGAACTTTAACCCAAGAACCCTTGCCCCTGGGATCTTGAAATGTCATGTCATGAAATGTTCTTCTCCACTACTACCTCTGTCTTGCTCTCAAATGCAGAATTACCTCCTGTCCTTCTCCCAAGGATTCTCCCAAATCCACCCAAAGGATGAAAAGCTTCGGTATTTGAAACCAAGGGAGGCAGTCCCTGCCTTTATTACTTATCTAGCCCTTCTGGCACTTCAAAGGAAACACTCATTTTCCTGTTGCTTCTTCACCTGACCCAAAGGAAGCTGAAGGGCCCGGGCCTGAGAACACCCTCCAGCAGAGGCAGAAGAGAACCTGAGGGCAAGTTCAGGAGGGTTACTCAATACCTGCCACCTGTCTTCTTGCCTTTTTCTTCTTGCCCAAAAGAAAAAGTCAAATGGCAACAGGAAGACTTACAAAAGACCATGTTTCTCATCAGAGGAGATTACTAGTCTCTCCGTAGTTCATTATCATGGCTATGCATAAGATTCATCCAATTCACATGCTGGTCACTCAAGTTAGTCATCTTACATAGAAGATGACACAGAATGAGTAACAGGGTTAATAATGCCCCCAAAAAAGCTATATATCAAGGATTAGAAAACAGGCACCTAATTTAAAAAACATTTTGTAAAGCTCTCAATATACTCTTTCATATGCATG